GCGCAAGAAGAAGAAAGTGCAAAGAAGGAACTACCAAAGGCATACAAACACTTAAAGAATCATCCAAGAGACACTATCATTGGAGATATTGAAAAGGGAGTTAGAACTAGGAACAATTACAATCTTTGTGCACACTATGCGTTCGTTAGTCAATTTGAACCTAAGAACGTAGAAGATGCACTAAAAGATAGTGATTGGATTATATCCATGCAACTAGAGCTTGAGCAATTTGAACGCAACAAGGTTTGGGAACTAGTCGAAAGACCGGAAACCCGACCCGTTGTGGGCACTGAATGGGTCTTTAGAAATAAGCTTGATGAAAATGGTGTTATTATCACTAATAAAAGTCTACTTGTTGCTAAAGGCTATAGCCAAGTTGAAGGACTTGATTATGATGAAACTTTTGCTCCGGTTGCTAAGCTTGAATCAATTCGTATGTTATTAGCTTTTGCAAGTGCTCTTAATTTCAAACTTTTTCAAATGGATATTAAAAGCGCTTTTCTAAATGGATGGTTAAAAGAAGAAGTTTATGTTGAACAACCTCCCGGTTTTGAAAATCCTGATTTTCCAAATCATGTTTTTAAACTTCATAAGGCCCTTTATGGACTCAAACGAGCTCCTAGAGCTTGGTATGAGCGGCTTACCGAACATCTAATCTCACATGGGTTTGCAAAAGGAAAGATCAATTCTACACTTTTTGTCAAAACAAAAGGAAAAGATCTCATAATTGTGCAAATTTATGTTGATGACATTATTTTTGGGTCAACCAATGAAGCTTTATGTAATGAATTTTCAGGAATCATGACAAGTGAATTTGAAATGAGCATGATGGGTGAGTTGAACTTTTTTCTTGGTCTTCAAATTAAGCAACTTGGAGATGGCATTTTCATTAGTCAAACCAAGTATGCCAAAGAATTAGTCAAAAAGTTCAACCTTGAAGATTCAAAAATATATCCAACTCGAATGAGCACATCCTTGAAGCTTGATAGCGACGAAAGCGGAAAACCCGTAAATGAAAAGGTATATCGAGGTATGATTGGTAGTTTGCTTTATTTAACTGCATCTAGACCCGATATAATGTTTTCCGTTTGCCTTTGTGCACGTTTCCAATCATCACCTAAAGAATCACATTTTAATGCCGTCAAGCGAATTATTCGGTATGTCAAGGGAACGACTAATATGGGGTTATGGTATCCTAAGAATACGAATTTAAGCTTGATAGGTTTTAGTGATGCCGACTTTGGAGGGTGTCGTATTGATCGGAAAAGCACAAGTGGCACATGTCAATTCATAGGTCATGCACTAGTGTCTTGGTCATCTAAGAAACAACACTCCGTCGCCCTATCCACCGCCGAAGCAGAATATGTGGCTATGGGTAGTTGTGTTGCTCAAATTTTATGGATGATGCAAACACTAAGTGACTTTAACTTAAAATTTTCAAAAGTGCCTATTTTTTGTGATAACTCAAGTGCAATAAATATTTCCAAAAATCCTGTTTTGCATTCTAGAACTAAACATATAGAAATAAGACATCATTTCATAGTGATCATGTTGCAAAGGGAGATATTCAAATTGAATATGTAAATACGCTTGAACAACGTGCTGACATTTTTACAAAACCATTAGATGAAAAACAATTTTTACATATTTTTCGGGAAATGGGAATGCTTGAATTAAAGTGAAATTTAAGGTTCTTATTATCCCATTATATCATAAAAATAAATTGATCAAGTCCAAATGCTCAAAACACGCGTCAAGAAGTCGAAACAAAACATTAAGCTGAGACACGGTACCCCTGTCGATACTATGGTCCCGTACAAAATAGGTGCTGCCAGAAACGAATGGGATTTTGGAAGCTTCACGGTATCTGGACATGGTACACCATACCGTGTAGACGGTACCAAGATACCGTTACCACGGTACCTCGGTACCGACCGTCTCGTCGGGTCAAAACGATTTAAAACCCTAGACCAGCGTCTATTCGGCATCTGCAGCGTCTCTCTCCCGGCGACCTCTCTCGTCTCCTTTCTACCGTAAGGCATCCAAGGTAAACATTCATCCAAATTTCATAAATTTTATCATCAATTAAGCTTCAATTTCCATATCCTCTCCTTAATTCAAATTAAGCTTCACTTTTCCCATTTTTCGTCCAATTTTCCTAATTTTCTCAAAATCTCCAAAATGAGTGAAATTGTTTCAAATGTTCAACCCGATGTCCAAGGTGGGTTCAAGGCTTACGCCGACCCACATATCATTGAGGGGAGAACCCTTAAACAAGATGACATCCCGGTTCCCGTTCTTGAACTAATTCAACAACAAGGTTGGAGTTTCTTTCTTCAACTCCAAGCCCCCGTTTACCCGGACCTTGTTCATCAATTCTATTCTTCTATGAAATACTATCCCGAAGACCCTTCCATTACTGCCGTAGTTGCTGGAAAAACCTTCGGATTCAACACCCAAAACCTTTCCGAATGGTTTCACCTAGAGCGTCAAGGAGTCTCCACCTATTGCAAAAAGGGGTGGATTACCGACTCATGAGACTTTAACTCCGATTCTTGCCTCCGAGTGCTAAACAACATTGCCCTTAACCATGTCTTTGAGGACCCGAACTACTTCCTTCGTAGGCCAAATGTCCAAGACTTACCCGCAAATAGGTTCATCCTTCTCAAAATCCTCAAAGAAAATGTCATCCCGGTCCTTAACAAAGATAAACAAGTTGGGGTTTATGAATGCACTCTTCTATATTGGCTCCTAACTCACAAGAAAATCAATCTCCCTTCCATCATCCTAAAACACATGTACGAATGCTCCGGTCGCCAAAACAAACCCTATGGCATGCTTCTTACCCACATCTTTGCCAAGAGGGAAATTCTTGAGGTGCGCCCTACTCGTGTCCGCTATCTTGATGCGGAGTGCCTTGGCTATTGTGGCCTTGTGAAGATTGGAGAAGAGTACTACATGAAGAAGGAGTTTCAAAATCTTGATGAAGCTACACGAGCGGAGTATGGCCCTCAACGATCCTTGTCCTCTGTGCCATCTACTTCACGAGCACCCCGGGCCGAAGCCGTAGAAAATGCCAACACGGATGTCCCCGTTCGTGCTCCTAGGGTCAAACGCTCAAAGTCGGCGTCTCATGCTTCTTCGGCCTCTCTATTGCACCGTCACTCTCAAATGGCTTCCACTTCCAAAAACCCCTTCAAGAAGTTCAAGAAATTCATCCTCAAGACCGTAGTGGCTCCGATGAAGAAAATTCATGAAAGCCTTGATGACCTCTCGGATCGGATGAAGAAGATGGAGGACCGTGAGAATCGCCAAAAGCAAAATGAGGATCGTGCTTCTAGACGTCGTCGCTAAGTATTGAGCATTTGACAAAATGATCAAACATTCACTTATCTATGTTTTTTTTTAAAAAAAAATTATTATGTATTTTGTTTTATGTTTCAACCTCCTATCATGTCTTATGTTTAAAACTCGTACTTATGCACTTTTATGATTGTTAACCCCTTTATGATTATGCTTATGATCCACTTGAATGCCTATAATTGTTGCCATAATGAATGTCATTGTGTTGAACCTCGTGTTTTTGGTACCCTGCCTTTTTGAATGTTGCCAAAAGGGGCAGAAATATTAGGCTTTCATATGCATCAATTTAGGGGGAGTTTTTATCAAAATATAACGTGCATCAACTTAGGGGGAGTTTTAAAATCAATATATGTTTTTCACGATATGTTTGTGCGTTTGATTATTATATTCGAAAGCCTTATTTGTCAACATCAAAAAGGGGGAGATTGTTGGCATTGAATGCCGTACCCCGTAACCGTTTTGATGTGCCAAATAAGTCTTCGAAATGTTACTAACATCATTTGCAGGAAAAACAAACGCCAAAACCTCTTAGCTTGTTTAGCATCACCGAGATATACTCCTACGAATTTAGAAATTGTTGTGTAAAGGTAATGATATATTTTAATAAGTTACTTATGCCCTTTCACTCAAAATTTAATTTTAAAATGACAAATATATTCTTAGTTGGGGTTATTTTGAAAACGGAACACGAAAAATGAGTTTTGGAATTTTTACACAGGCCTAACGGTACCTGGCTACCGTATACACGGCACCAGGCCGGGTACCGCCGGTAGCGTAGTGAACGTACCGGGAACGTTTCACTCAGGAGGTACACGGTACCCCCCCTACCGTGAGACGGTACTTGGATACCGTACGGTAGGCTGAACCGGCTGGGTACCCCCGTCTTAACAGGTACCGCCAGTAGCGAACCTAACTTTTGGCCTACACGGTACCCCCAAACGGTAGGCTGTACCGTCTGTCACGGTACCTAGGTACCAGACGGTACTGACCCTACCGTGAAGGGTACTGGATCCGTTGGCAGCACTGTAGCAAATTGCCAATTTAAATTTAAATCACCCCTAATCACTCCCTAACGGCATTTAACGTTAAAAACTCAAATTTTAACCTTCCAAACTCCTATATAAACCTCCTCTAAGTCTCATTTTATTGACAACAACTTCTCAATTAAATCTAAAGCCTCTTTCTCTAATTCTTGAGTGTTCTTGAAGCTTTGTTCTTATTTTTCTTACTCCTTTGAGTAAAAAAAAACTTTCATCTTTTTATACACACACACACACAAGGGCATTTGTGCTTCATTATTTTTATATCTTGCCTATAGGCTGTTGTTGTTGATTTAATCTTTTGTTCTTCTCCTACCCAATTCATATTTGTTATTATTTTGGTAGAGAAGCAACACCAATCTTTTATTGATTTGTAAAAGGTGTGGATAGCCTTTAAATCCTCATTGTAAGGTTGAAGATAGCCTTAAAATCTTCGGTTGTAAACGGTTGAGATAGCCGTAGTAAAATCTCGTTTGCTTATTGGCAAGGGTTGTTTGCCAAACCTCGTTTGAGTCTTCTTAGTGAAGCCAAACAAGTTAGTGGAGGTTAAATCTTTGAGGAGGAGCCTCGAGGTACTGGAGTAGGGAGTTCCCGAACCAGTATAAAATCGCTTGTGTCGTATTTTTATATTTTATACTTTTCTTGCTCTTTCTCCGCTACTACTTTGCGCATATGTTTTTTGTTTTTTATTAAAAAATATTGCAAACACCCTAATTCACCCCCCTCTTAGGGTGTAAACCGATTTTCACTTTTGATTGATTGTTCTTAGAACTTTCGAATTCCATGCACTAGGTGTACTGGGAAACTGTTTAACTATCTTCTTCCTTAGGTCTTGATCATCTGCTACTAAGATTCTTCCTTCCTTAAATATGCATCCACCCTTCAACTAATGCTTTTCATGACATTTGTGGTTAGTGTTAATTCTTTTTTAATAAGCAGCAGGAAAAGCCTAGACATGAAACTGAGAATAACAATAATAGTACTTAGTAGTTAAGGATAAAACATGTAACTTTCAAAAGAGAAGGACCATTTCTCATTGTAAACATTTATCTATGTGATAGATGTGGCTCTGAGTATCTATGACTCTATGTGACAATTGACAAATAAGGCTCCAGTGTAAAAAATGTTTATCCCATTTAGCTAAATCCACCCATTTATGAGGATTATCTTTAGGAAAAGTTCACGTCCTCTTTCCCTTTTTACACTTTTAGGGGCAAATTTGTACATTTGTAACAAATGATGTGGATTTTGCCAAAATAGGTTTATCCCATTTATGTTTTTTTGGGAAATTTATATTGATTTATATAATTTTATGTTTTAATATACTTCAAGATATAAAAATAAGTTTAATTTACTTTTTATGTGATCTAATTGAGCATATGTTTTATTCTTTCCAAGGCAATGAATCACAAGAAAGAATATATTATTAATGCAATTTGCTGATTATTTTCGGTTTTAAAATTAATGACCCAAATCAACACATGTTCATACTAGAATATGCAGGAGAGTTATCAGGCTATCCAGATTTATCGTAGTGTTTGTTTGTACCAAGTTGATTTTTGTGGGGATTTATCAGAGCCTGGTTCTTATCCACTTTACCAAAGATATTACTATGATGGGAAGGTACGATCTCTTAACGAACAACTTCTAGACCAAGGATTCAAAGTAATTCCATCTTACTAAACTTATACGTGCAACAGTTTTCCGGAAGTATATAAATGCACGAGAATAGGGCAACAATTTTTTCAACACGTAAAGGTGTTACAGAAATTGTTTCTTTAACACATTTTTATTCCCGGAAAATTTGTAATGTTATATACGATGTTGCTTTGTTTGACGCAGAGTTTTCTTGATCGGCCTGACTTTTCCATTGCCACGAGGCATACTAGCTTATGTTAGGTGGCTATGAAGAAAGGAAAAACTACTCTCTTGAACTGTTTCTTTTCCATTTTCCTTAAGGATGACACTAAGTGTCTATGGTTTATGATTTACAAAGATGAAGCTATGAAGCTTATTGAGCAATCAGCCATGAGCAAGTACTATATTAAGAGAAATCATTGGTAATCATCGAAAAAAGTACGCCTTTATCATGCCATAGAGCTTTAAATAGCAAGCTCAGCTATCATGGGTCAACAAACAACTGACCTATTTGCTTATCTTAAACTCACTCGTACTGAAGAGTTTAGAAAGACACAAAACTATCAAGATCGGTATGGTTAATGCCCAGATGCATTTGAATGAATGAGGCTATATAGTTTCACGGGGGTTCTAAGGGTGGTTACATGTCTTTTTTTGGCAATGATATCACGATTTAAAAAAAAGTTTACACATGCTTTCAGTTATTCCTTAGTACAGTATTTAGTTCTTTTTCTTTTTATTCATCTTTATTGCACAGATTGCAACTACCATCTCCACCACGATCACTCTTTCGTCCATGGTATCCCGGTGTCTAATTCAACAGTGGCTTTGACCTATCACATTGCTTATCCCTACTCCCGTGAAAACCTATGTAATGAAACATTATATAGTACTCCCTCCGTCCCGTTTTAAATCGTCCGTTTTGACTTTTGGGCATATTTAAGGAGAATTAAAAATAGAGTTAATTTTTCGAAATTGTCAATACTTTTTAGGAGGGATGATGATGAATGAAGATATAATGTGGAGAAGATTGACTTATTTTAGAGATAGTTTAGGTATTTTATTTTTAAAAGTGTACGAAAACAACTAACATGCAACTTATTTTGGAACGGAGAAAAAAGGTAAACAGGCAATTTAAAATGGGACGGAGGGAGTATAATTTAGGGTTCTTTAATATAATTATCATTTGCAGGGTAGGGCTCATGGTGCCTTCCCAAGGACTCCATCCAAAAAGTGATTGCCTTCTGCTTCAAAGGTGAGTCGATTTTTTCAAGAAAGAATGGTCATTCTCTCTACTTTGTTTTAGCAGTAGCCTTTTATAACAGCGGCCCTTTCAAAAGGTGTTACTCCAGTTTATCTTTTGGAGTACAAAGTATTTTATTATACTCATCCGACCAAAAATTATGGTTGTATTTTGATTTTTCTGGTTACTTAGACCATAAATATAATGTAGTTTTGAGTAAAAAATATTTTTTAAAAAAATTGCATACTATAACTACATCTAAAAATGAGCCCAATAATATTAAATTTACGCTATAATTGAAAATATATTTTCAAAAAATTTATTGTCAAACTAATCATAAAAGTCAAACTAGACCCATAAATTTGGGGTGGGGAGCAGAGTTTTTTTTATTTACTCCGTATTTATTTTTAAATACTCATTATACTCTGTTCGTTAACATTCATGATCGTGATGGTTGGGTTAATGGATTTCTAGAATATGCCACTCATTGTTGTCTGAATATTTATGGCTTTTTTCTAAATGTTTTTTGCATAGTGGTTGAGTAAGGTCATGTTGTTAATTTGCCTTTTTGTCTTCAGACATCTAGAACGTAAATAGTGGATTATGCTTTGGCCTAACAGGAACATGCTGGGTTGCTTGAGGGAGCCTACAAACAACACTTGACAGACACACACTTTAAATTAGTCACATTTACTGATTATATGATTTAAAACTGAGGTGCATCGTTAACATCTCAGAAAAAATTCTTTATAATTACCATTGATACTCATGAATTTGCCGAAGATTTTGGCCATTGAAACTGATGTTATTGGTTTGATAAATGTTGTACTTCAATAACACTGGGTTATGCTGGTAGGATTAACGCAGGATCTGGAAGCTAATTTCACATCTTTGAACAGGATAATGACTGGTTTTTGAAGAATGAATATTTTCACATAAATTATTATGGGAGATTACATGTGTATATATACAAAGGTTTCCTAGTGATAATAGGAAACAATATTAAATGCACCCTATACAATTATGGTAGCTACCAATATACATTAATATTAAGGGGCTGTTTGTTTCAGCCTCTTAATGGTTCAGATGTCTGAATGGTTCAGCACTTAATGATTCAGGCTGTTTGTTTCAGCCTCTTAATGTTTCAGATGTCTGAATGGTTAAGAGATTTGCCTCTGAATGGTTAAGTATTATACAGAGTCTGAATGATTAAGACCTCTTATCTGAATTGATCAAACATTTGCCTCTGAATAGTTAAGCAATATACTAGCTCTTAATGGTTCAGACCTCTTACTGGTTCAGCACTTAATGGTTCAGACCTCTTACTGGTTCAGCACTTACCTATTCAGAAGTTGCCAAACAGCCCCTAAATATATTAGGAATATATTTAACATGCTCCCAACGGCACTAATGAAGATCGCCGCACGCCCAGACAATCTCGAAATTCGGAGAAGATCATGGAGGGTAGTCCCTTGGTGAAAATGTCTGCATACTGTAAGGAAGAAGGCACATGAACTACACGTATCTGACCAAGGGCTACTCTGTCACGCACAAAATGAATGTCGACCTCAATGTGTTTCGTGCGCTGATGCTTGACAGGATTGGCCAAAAGGTAGACAGCACTGATATTATCACAGAAGACCAGTGTGGACCGTATCAGGGGTTGCCGGAGTTCTAGAAGAAGATTCCGTACCCAACTAACCTCAGCGACAGCATTAGCAACAGCTTGATATTCTGCCTCGGCACTGGATCGAGAGGTGGTGAGTTGTCGCTTAGAAGACCAGGAGATGAGATTGTCGCCTAGAAAGATGCAGTAACCGGATGTCGAGCGGCGAGAATCCGGGCAGCCAGCCCAATCAGCATCAGAGTATGCCCGCATGTGATCTGTCAGAGAAGGTGATATGGTGATGCCATGGGTAGGTGTACCGTGAAGATAGCGCAGGACGCGCTTCATGGCTGTGCCGTGTGGCACACGAGGATCATGAAGGAATAGACGGAGCTGCTGTACGGCATAGGTAATATCTGGACGGGTGAAGGTGAGGTACTGCAGTGCTCCCACAATAGAGCGATATAAGGAGGGATCTGGCGCTGGAGGACCAACGATGGCCGAGAGCTTCACGCGGGCGTCCTCTGGTGTAAAAACAGGTTTGCACGAGGTCATGCCGGCCCGTTCAAGGATGTCATAGATAAACTGAGTCTGAGTGAGAAACAGGTCGTGCGAGGTCCGCTGGACATTGATCCCAAGAAAGAAGTGAAGGTCACCCATATCGGTCATAGCAAACTCCCCTTTTAGTCGTTCAGTGAGCTGATGTAGAAGAGCAGTAGATGAGGCGGTGAGGACAATGTCATCAACATAGAGCAGTAGTAGGGCCATGTCCTGACCGCGACTGTAGACAAACAACGAGGTGTCTCTCTTGCAACCACTGAAGCCAAGAGATAGGACAAATCCCGTGAATCGCTGGTACCATGATCGGGGGGCTTGTTTGAGGCCATAAAGGGCCTTGTTTAGTTTGCAGACATAATGGGGACGAGCAGGGTCCTGGAATCCCGAAGGTTGAGCGGTGTAAACAGTATCTGAGAGGTAGCCCTGCAAGAAAGCATTTTTCACGTCGAACTGATGGATCGGCCATCCTTTGGACACGGCAAGGCTCAAGACAATGCGTATAGTGGACGGTTTGACAACGGGCTGAAGGTCTCGTCGTAGTCGATGCCGTGGCGTTGATTGAACCCACGAACAACCCATCTAGCTTTGTACCTGGACAGTTCACCTGTGGGGCCAAGTTTGTGGCAGAAGAGCCATTTACCGGAGATAACATTTTGGTTGGGGGAGGGGGGTACTAAATCCCATGTATGATTAGCTATCAAGGCATTATATTCATCTAGCATAGCATTGTACCAGTTAGGATCTTTGAGAGCACTACGGTAGGTAGGGGGTATTGGGGAGATGGATGCAATGGTGTTTAGGTTTAGGATTTGTTTGGGGCAAAAGACGCCGGCCTTGGACCGGGTGACCATGGGATGGGAGGGGGCTGTCGGGTCAGGGGGGTGTTCGC